TTTTTTTTTCAAAAAGATTCCTGAGCTTATAAAATTCCTCCCCCAACCCTCAACCATATACCAATTATAATCAACCCCTTAATGATGTCCCTAAGCCTGAGGACAAACTTTGCTGGGAGAAGGGACATCGTCCTCTAGAATTACTTCCAGCTGTCATGGGGGCGACGTTCTTTCTAGGGGATCCTGTGAAAGTAAAATGATGGTTAAATTTCAAGATCAATGTCTGGCAAGATTGCAAATAGTCTCTGAGTATTTTGTGGAGGTCTGGCCAGAATGTTGTAAAAGATGTGCACCGTTTCAGCTAACCAACTCAGAACTGTCTTCTGCAGCTGGTACCCAAAACAGGTCTTGTAGTAGCGCTATCAGTATCATGACATCATATCAACCAGGTGGAGTTGTTGTTATGGGGCCCCATTTTCTTCCTGGGAACTTCAAAGATTACTGCAGGAAAATTCATTGTTCATTGTGGAAAACTTAAACATTAACTATATAGATGTATATAGACATATAATTCAATGAAAGGTATGATAGATATGAAGAAAAGCAAAGATGTTTTCTAAATTCTTTTTTCCTTCTGTCCTATATCATGGATCCTGACATGAGACAGAAACTCTGGGTTTTTCTCTTAACAACAAGCTTGGAATTGTTTGATTTTCTTGATGATCCGTATTGGATAGTAATTTTTTCCATCTGTCAGTATTCAAACATCCAAGGTCCCTTGAATTTTTCGAAGATGAGTGTTTTCCTGCAGGGATAAGAACAGAACCCTGCCCCCATTCTATATGTTTTTCTTACCACCTGTATGATTATCATCATTGTGGATGAGCTGTCATTTCTCCTTTCCAAGAGGTTTCTCCTCTTCAAACCGAACCTTTATTAATTTTGATGGTATCCACAATTTTTCTTCTCCTGTGGAAACAAGAGCAAAACCCCTTCCCCAACACAGCACATCTCCTGGCTTCCATTGCAAGGTCAGCACATCCTTGAAATAAACTGGATGATTTAGTTCAGCAGACTTTTCTATTATCCAATGTCTCTCTGCTGCTGTTGTCCCTTTCTCATTAGCATTAAGAAAATTCAAGGTTAATAAGGCATTATGTAATTTATTTCTGGGGCCATTTTCCACCCCTTTCTGTTTGTTTAACACATCCTTTATATTTCGATTTGATCTTTCTATAACTGCTTGACCTGTAAGATTGTGTGGTATACCTGTAGCATGCTTAATATTATAATAAGCAAAAAACCATTTCCTAGAGACATAAGCTGGACCATTATCTGCCTTTGTTTGTGCAGGTATACCCATGATGGCCATAACTTCTAATAAATGTGGATTACTGAATCAGCTTTTTCTGAGCTTAAAAGAATTGCCCACTGAAAGCCTGAATAAGTGTCAATGGTGTGGTGCACATATTTTAATTTTCCAAATTCTGCAAAGTGAAACACATCCATCTACCAGATTTCATTCCTTTGAGTACCCTTTGGGTTAGTCTCTGCAGTTAGTGGTATTTGGTTATATAAAGAGCAAATAGGGCATCTCTTTATAATCTCCTTAGCTTGTTGCCATGTAATAGAAAACTCTTTCTTTAAACCTTTGCCATTGATGTGATGTTTTTTATAAAATTCTGAGGCCTGCAACATGCTTCCAATCAATAATTGATCAATTTCTGCATTACCTTGTGTTAGAGGACCTGGCAGACCCATATAGGATTGGATGTGTGTTATGTACATACGACAAAGCCTATTCCTGATTATGTCTTGTATCTGGATAAACAATTAAGTCAATTCTGTATCATCTTGTATAAATTCAGCAGTTTCAATATGCAAGACAACTCTTTCTGCATATTGTGAATCAGTAACTATGTTCTTTAAAATCCCTTAGCACAATAAGAATGACATATAATTCTGCCTTTTGGACAGAATTATCAGGTCTTTGTTCCACCTTACTCAATTTGACTGATTTGTAACCTGCCTTTCCTGATTTATTAGCATCAGTATAAAATGTACAGGCTCCAGTTATTAAAGCATCACATACAATTCAAGGAAGAAATAGAACTGCTGAAGAAATAGAAACAGTCATCAAAAGTCTCCCAACCAAAAAAAGCCCAGGACCAGATGATTTCAGATCAGAATTTTACAAGACTTTCAAAGAAGAACTAGTACCAAATTATTCCACACAATAGAAACAGAAGGAACTTTGCCAAACTCTTTTTATGAGGCTACAATTACCCTGATACCCAAACCACAGAAAGACATTACTAAGAAAGAGAACTACAGACCAGTCTCACTCATGAACATTGATGCAAAAATACTAAACAAAATACTAACAAATCAAATCCAAGAACACATCAGAACCATCATCCACCATGACCAAGTTGGCTTCATCCTACAGATGCAGGGATGGTTTAACATACAAAAATCTGTTAACATAATCCACCATAAAAACAAGCTGAAAAATAAAAACCATATGATTTTCTCATTAGATGCCGAAAAGGCATTTGACAAAATACAACATCCCTTCATAATAAAGGTCTTGGAAAGAGCAGGGATACAAGGAACATACCTAGACATAATTAAGGCAATATACAGCAAGTCAACATCCAACATCAAACTAAATGGAGAAAAACTTGCAGCAATTCCACTGAAATCAGGAGCAAGATAAGGTTGTCCACTCTCTCCCCATCTATTCAATATAGTTCTTGATTTCCTAGCTAGAGTATTAAGACACCAAAGGGAGGGGCTGGAGAGATGACTCATTGGTTAAGAGCATTGGCTGCTTTTCTAGAGGTCCTGAGTTCAATTCCCAGCAACCACATGGTGGCTCACAACCACTTGCAATGAGATCTGGCACCCTCTTCTGGAGTGCAGGTATACATGGAGGCAGAATGTTGTATTCATAATAAATAAATCTTTTTTAAAAAGACACCAAAAGGAGATCAAGGGGATACAAATTGGAAAAGAAGAAGTCAAACTCTCACTGTTTGCTGATGATATGATACTTTATGTAAGTGATCCCAAAAATTCTATCAAGGAACTTCTACAACTCATAAACACTTTGAGCAAAGTAGCGGGATACAAGATTAACTCAAAAAAATCAGTAGCCCTCCTGTACACAGATGATAAAAGGGCTGTGGAGAAATCAGATAATCAACACCATTCACAAGAGCAACAAATAGCATAAAATATCTCACAGTAACTCTGACCAAACAAGTGGAAGACTTGTATGAAAGGAACTTTATATCTTTGAAGAAAGAAATTAAAGAAGACACCAGAAAGTGGAAAGACCTCCCAAGCTCTTCGGTAGGCAGAATTAACACAGTAAAAAATGGCTATCTTACCGAAAGCAACCTACAGATTCATCTCAACACCCATCAAAATCCCAGCAAATTCCTTCAAGACCTTGAAAGAATGGTACTCAATTTCATTTGGAAAAGCAAGAAACCCAGGATAGCCAAAACAATCCTGTGCAATAAAAGAACTTCTGGAGGCATCACAATCCCTGACTTTATACTCTACTACAGAGTAGTACTGAAAACAGCCTGGTATTGGCATAAGAACAGACAGGAGGACCAATGAAACCAAGTAGAAGACCTGGATATTAATCCACCTAACATCGAACACCCAATCTTTGATAAAGAAGCAAAAAATATCAAATGGAAAAAGGAAAGCATATTTAACAAGTGGTGCTTGCAATAGCTGGATATCAACATGTAGAAAAATGAAAATAGACCCATATCTATTACCATGAACAAAACTCAAGTCCAAATGGATCAAAGACCTCAACATAAAGCCAGCCACACTGAACCTTATAGAAGAGAAAGTGGGAAGTACACTTGAATACATTGGCAGAGGGAACCACTTCCTAAATATAACCCCAGCAGCACAGATACTGAGAGAAACAATTAATAAGTGGGACCTCCAGAAACTGAAAAGCTTCTGTAAAGCAAAGGACATAGTCAACAAGACAAAACAACAGCCTACAGAATGGAAAAAGATCTTCACTAACCTCACATCAGACAGAGGTCTGATCTCCAAAATATACAAAGAACTCAAGAAATTGGACACCAAAAGATCATATAATCCAATAAAAAAATGGAGTACAGACCTAAACAGAAAACTCTCAACAGAGGAATCTAAAATGGTTGAAAGACACTTAAGGAAATGTTCAACACCCTTAGTCATCATAGAAATATAAATCAAAACAACTCTGAGATTCCATCTTACACCTGTAAGAATGGCCAAGATCAAAAACACTGATGACAACTTATGCTGGAGAGGTTGTGGGGAAAGGGGAACACTTCTGCATTGCTGTTGGGAATGCAAGCTGGTACAACCCCTTTGGATGTCAGTGTGGCAACTTCTCAGAAAATTAGGAAACAACCTTCCTCAAGACCCAATAATACCACCTTTGGTTATATATCCAAAGGATGATTAATCATGACACAAAGACATGTGTTCAACTATGTTCATAGCAGCTTTGTTTGTCATAGCCAGAACTTAGAAACAACCTAAATGCCCCTCGACTGAAGAATGGATAAGAAAAATGTGGTACATTTACACAAAGGAGTACTACACAGAAGAAAAATATAATGACAGCTTGAATTTTGCAGGAAAATGGATGGAGCTAGAAAACATTATTTTGAGTGAGGTAACCCATACACAGAAAGACAATTATCACATGCAGTCACTCATACATGGTTTTTAAACATAAAGCAAAGAAAGTCAACCTACAAACCACAATCCCAGAGAACTTAGACAACAATGAGGACACTAAGGGAGTCTTACATAGATCTAATCTACATGGGAAGTAGAAAGTAGAAAAAAAAACAAGATCTCCTGAGTTAATTGGGAGCTTGGGAACCTTGGGGAAGGGTTGAAGTGGGGAGTTGAGAGGCAGGAAGAAGAGCAGAGACAAATGTAGAGCTCAATAAATATCAATACATAAATGTATAAAAATAAAAAAAGTAATAAGCTAACCCCACAGAGGACTTCGAACTTCTTACCTCGCTGCGATTGGTGTTGGAGATAGTTCCGAGCTACCTTGTATTATGCTTGCTTACAATAACTTGTTTACAAACTTGTTATTGCAGTTTGGACTTCTCTGGTTTCTGGTGGTCTCTCTCTTGGGGTCATAATCTGGGCACAACATTTGGTGCATTTGTTGGGAACCCCAGGGAACCCACGGGGACCTCCAAGAGTCCGGAGGTTCATTAGCATCTACCGGTTAAGAGTGCTCTTTGTCTTTTTGTCTTGCCTGTGTCTTTGTCTTATAACGTCGTCTGCTTTGTACCGGTTGACCAATCTGAGATTCAGGAATTGGTGGACTCTTTCTGGAACAGACGTGTTCGGACAGTGAACCTGGAGGAGAAGAAAGATGCCTTGTTTTCCAGTTTGGGTAAGGGACGCCCTCCCTCCCTCTTCCCACCCCACCCCGTCCTGAGCCATTTGGGGCCACCTCAGAGGCAGCAGTTTGGTTTCGGAAACCTCCTTCAGGAAGTGATCAGGAGCCTCTCCTGTGAATTCAACAGTCTGGGCCCTTAGGAGTGTGTTTGGGTATCTCCCTCCACTGTGGGAGGAAGTGCCACCTTGTGTTTTGTCCGGGATCTTGTCAAAGTCTTTTTGTGTTTTGTTGTGGTAGTTGTTGCCTTGTTTTCTTTCTCTCTTGACTTCTATCTTCATCTCTCCTCTTCAGCAATGGGGAATACCCCATCAACACCCTTAAACTTCATTCTTGCTCACTGGCAGAACGTCCAGGATACCACCAGCAACAACAGTGTAAATGTCAAAAAGAAGAAATGGGCCACTCTTTGTTCAGCTGAGTGGCCCACCTTCAATGCCGCGTGGCCAGCAGGCAGAGCCTTTGATGCAGCAACTATCCACCAGGTGGAGGAGATCATCTTCCACCCCTGCTGTGGCCACCCTGACCAAGGCCCCTATATTGTTACTTAGAGGGGACTAATAGATAGGGTAGGGGGACCCCTTTCTTGGATTGTACCGTTCTTACTTCCACAGCAGACCAAGGCACTCAAGTTTTGGCTGCTAAGACTAGGGCTCCCTCAGCAGGTAAAAAGGAGAATAGGACAAAGCCTGCTGTTGTATTCCAGGGGAGAACAGCAGAGACAGAGCTTTTTCCACCTCCCTATCTCCCTCAGTCTCCCCAAGCATGTCCTATGGCTCCTGTAGAAGCCCCAGCCTCCAAACTGTCAGGAGAGTCACCGGCACTGTCTACTCATAGCAGAAGGGCAGGGACCCCACACCCAGACTCCATGGTGGCCCTTCCTCTCAGACCCGCTGGCCCTCCTGATGATTCAGGGAGCCAACCCTTCCATTATTGGCCATTTGCCACCAGTGACTTATATAATTGGAGGGCTCAGAATGCACCATTTCCCAAAGACCCCCAGGATTTAATTAACCTGTTGGAAACTGTTTTTTGGGTTGTTTGTTTGTTTGGTTGGTTGGTTTGGTTTGGTTTTTGGTTTTTCGAGACAGGGTTTCTCTGTAGCTTTTGAGGCTGTCCTGGAATTAGCTCTTGTAGACCAGGCTGGCCCCGAACTCACAGAGATCCACCCGCCTCTGCCTCCCGAGTGCTGGGATTAAAGGTGTGCACCACCACTGCCCGGCTGGAAACTGTTCTTTTTACCCATGCCCCTACATGGGACAATTGTCAGCAGTTGTTAAAGGTTCTCTTTACAACTGAGGAGAGAAGCAGAATCCTAGAGAACACCTGGAAGCTGGTCCCAGGACCTACAGGCGCCCCTCTAGCAGACCCTCTGCCAGCCAAGGCAGTCTTTCTAGCACCCCGCCTTAACTGGGACACAACAGGAGGTAAGGAGAGTCTCCGCTCTTGGCTCTATTGGCAGCTCTCAAGGCCACCGCATGCAGGCCTACTAATATGGCAAAAATTATGATGTAAAGCAGGGAAGGAATGAGAGCCCAGCTGTGTACCTGGAAAAGTTGATGGTGGCTTTCAAACAATACTCCCCCTGCAACCCGGAGTCTGGGGAAGCACAGAAGGCCGTTATCTTAGCTTATGTCAATCAAGCTGATGGAGGAGGGTTATCTGTCTATTGTGTTATTTTCATTGGTCAATAAAGAGACTGCCTTGGCCCCTTGATAGGACAGAAAATTAGGGAGGCAGAGTAAACAGAACAAAATGCTGGGAAGAGGGCTATGAGCCAGATGCCATGGAGCCAGCCACCAGGTCAGACATGCTGAATCTTTTCCGGTAAGCCACTCCTGCGCAGATCACTGAAGAGGCAGCATGTAACTTGCCCAGCTGAAAAAGGTACGGAGCCATGTGCTAAAGTAGATAAGGATAATGGGGTAACATAAGTTATAAGAGTTAACAAGAAGCCTGACCTAATGGGCCAATCAGCTTTATAACTTATAGAGTTCTCTGTGTGGTTGATTTTCCTTTGGGGCTTGCCAGCTGTGGAGCACTGGGCAGGACAGATACCCCAACAAGCCGGCCCGTCATGTTACATCAAGCAGCACCAGATATTAAGAGAAAATTACAGTCATTAGAAATACTAGGAGAGAGGAGCCTAAGAGATTTAGGAGCAGTGACAGAAAAGGTTTACAATAAGAGAGAATCAGAGAACCAGAAAGAAGAGAGAAGGGAAAGAGAACATCAAGAAAGGGAGGAGAAGATAGACAAAAGACAAGAGAGGAACCTAACCAAAATATTGTATAGGGAGCAAACTCAAATGGAAAGAGTCCTCCTTGCCACCGAGGCAGGAGGACAGGATGGAGACCAATGATTCCGACCAATGATTCTGGCCTAAGTTAGGAAAGAATCGGTGCAGGTATTGCTAGGAAGAAAGACATTGGGCCAGAGAGTGCCCCCCCCCAAAGGAACAAAAGAGAGGCATCAACAGGATTGGGAAAAAAGTCAGCTTCCATCCTTGCTGCCTTGGAAGAGGACAGTGACTAGGGGAGATGGGGCTCGGCTTCCCTCCCCAAGCCTAAGGTAGCCCTAAGAGTGGAGGGGGAACCTATCCAGTTCATGGTGGATACAGGAGCAGAAAGTTCAGTACTGTTGACACCCGAGAGCCCCCTGTCAGGGAAACAGACCTGGGTGCAAGGTGTGATAGGCATCAAACCTTATAAATAGACCCAAAGAACAGTGGACTTGGGAGTGGGACAGGTAGCCCACTCATTCTTAGTCACCGGACAGTTCCACAGAGCGTGGACAGCAGTGAAACAAGCAGCTTCCTCAGGTTCCCCAAGATTTCAATGCCCACAAATCAGCAGAAAGCATCCTCTTTCCCTTAACCTGCCATGCCTAACTCCTCAGCTTTTTAATTAAAAAAGGAGAAATGTTAGTATCCAGGCACACCCTGGCACAGCACCTCAAGCCCTGCGCCCTGCATCCTAAGCCATGTCTGCCTGCCTAGCAAACAGCACACTGTCCCTTTAAGAGACAAGCTGTTGTGAGCACTACTGAGTGGGCCTTCTGGCCTTACTTAGAGGTCTGCAAGTGAATGACACTCAGGATAGCTGTTCTCTGCTTTGTCCGAACTACATTTATTGTATAAGCACTTCAAGATCTTACAGTTGTTCTGGCACAGCCAATAAGAAGCAAATATCATCATCACAGGCAAGGATATAATATCACAGAAGCAATGTCACACAAGCACATATCTATTTCTAAATCCTAGGCAAGCATTACTATATTCTATCTAATAAGGCATTGGGGTGTACAACCTGATGATGGTTCGTGGCTCTCGACGTAGACCTCTGGATCAGCAAGTCTTGATCTGCTGGCAAGAGCAAGTTCTCTGGTTCTTGGAAGATCTCTGGTCCAATGTCTCTGGTCCAATGTCTCGTTGATCGATTGATTGATTGATTCTCGATGCTGTAGAGCTTCTCTGGCGCCTCTCTGACAGAGTCTCTAGCAGATCATCTTGAGAATGGCTTCTGGTCCCTTTGTCTCACTTTTTATACTATTCTTCAGTCTCACTTCACTTCTTCCTACATCACACTCCAGATTAACACTCCTGTCTGCCTGTAGGTCACTCTTATCATCACTGCACACATGTCTGCTAGTGCCGCTTCTCCTGGACTTGTCCCAGATTTGTCCTTCAATGGACTCATCTAGGTTCTGTCCTTACAGACTCATAACACAAGCTCTGCCCCAGGTCTGTTTCCCTGACAGGGGGCCCTCAGGTGTCCCTCCCAATCTCCCCATCAAGGCAAACAGGTCTCTGCCACCCTCCCTCTTCTTGCTATTTATCTTTCTCTCTATATCTGTCTCTCTCTCTCTTCTCCCTCCCTTCCTTTCTCCCTCCCTCTCTCCTCCCTCTATCCCTCCATCCTCCTCTCAATAAACTCCACACCCAAACTCTGCCTGCATGGCTAATTCTGTCCTGGACTACATCATTCCTTGATTTGGTGTCCCACAAACCATCTAGATGTACAATGTGCCTCCCTTCACTTCCAGGGTCACGGACCTTTTTGAAGCTCTCAACATTTCCTGGAAATTCCACATCCCCTACCATCCACAATCCTTGGGAAAGGTGGAAAGGGACAATGGACTCATCAAACAACAACTAACCAAGCTCTCCATTGAACTCAGATATCTTGGCCCTCCCTTCTCCCCATTGCCCTTACTCACCTCAGGGCCACCCCCACGTTCCCCTAAAGGCCTGAGCCCTTTTGAGTTGTTTTAAGGCAGGCCCTTTCTCCTTAATCATCACCTCCCAGTCCAAACTCCTCCACTAGCAGGGTATCTACCCTACCTCTCCCTTTTAAGGTCCCTTCTCTGTTCATACGCTGACAGTTGTCTACCTGCCCCCACACCAGTGGACCCTAATGCTTCTAAACCTGCAACTCTCTCCCCGGGGACAGAGTACTCCTTAAACAGCTAACTCCTAGATTTCTCGAACCTCAGTGGACAGGACCTCGCACATTAATCCTCATCACCACCTCGGTTGCCAAGCTCCTGGAACACCCATGTTCAAGCGGGCACCCACTCAGGACATTTGGTCTGTCCAGCAGACAGGACCTTCCACTCTTCCAGTTTTCCAGGATGCCACAATGAAGGGCCTACCTGCTCCTCATCCTGGCACACCCATCTTTAGTGATAACAATATTTTTTTGCATAGTCACCTGCCTTCTCACCTCCCCCAAGGAATAGATGCCTGGCGTCTCCAGGATGACAGTACACAGGATGCCTTTCCAGCCACACCTCTTGCTGAGCGTGGACCCACCAACACCCAGCTCTTCCCTTCCTCACATCATCCCATGCCCATAGGAAGTAGCCAGACTTGAGTCAACGCACCTTTTTCCTAAGAGAGCCTAAGTGTTCGTCAAAGTATGACCTCAGCTTCCTTTTACCCCTTATACAGTCTGGAATGTAAGTCCCAGACTCTGGCCTCCATCTTTGTAGGCCCCATTCCTGCGTCCGCCAAGCCTTGACCCCTCCCTGGAGGAGGGTCAAGACAGCCCGCCAAAATCTTGATCACTCCCCTAGTCTATTTAAACTGCTTCCCGGAAAGTTCCCTATCCCCCCCCCCCCACACACACCCATCCCATTCACGGCTTTTCAGTTCCCCTCAGGGCCACCCAAGAGCGCAGGAATCCCATTAAACCTGAATATTTTTTAATTTGGCTTGTGATTTGGCTTGATTGGGATTTTTGTGTTGGCAGAGAGCTTGCTTTAGGAAAACTCCTAACACTACACAGAGAAACCCTGTCTCAAAAAAAACAAAACAAGAAAGAAAGAGAGTGAGAGGGAGGGAGGCGGGAAGGGAGAAAAAGAAAGAAAGAAAGAAAGAAAGAAAGAAAGAAAGAAAGAAAGAAAGAAAGAAAGAAAGAAAG